AAGACGAGTTCTTTCGGAAACTACGAGGCTGATGCTACTTCTGACAACCAGAGTAACCATTTATTTAGATACATGGAATGTTCGTATAATGTGGGACGCCGGGAGAGCCTTTCAAATTGCTGCAGAAATGAGAAGATACAACCTAGAGGTACTTAGGATCAGTGAAACACATTGAAAGCAAGTTGGACAACAACGACTAACCTCAGGAGAGCTCCTGTCATACTCCGGCCATGAAAAAAAAAGCCCCACATACACAAGGAGTTGCATTGATGCTATCCAAACAAGCACAAAATGCACTTATAAGATGGGAATCTTATGGACCAATGATCATCAAAGCCAACTTAAAAACAAAGAAAGAGGGCATTTCAATGAACATCATCCAATGCTATGCGCCTACCAACGACTACAATGAAGACGCTAAAGATCAATTCTACAATAGGCTGCAGTCAATCGTCGAGAAGTGCCCAACAAAAGACCTGACCATTCTGATGGGAGATTTCAATGTCAAGGTTTGAATGGGCGACACTGGATATGAAGACATCATGGGATGACATGGACTGGGAGAAAGAAACGAAAATGGTGGGAGATTTACAAACCTATGTGTCTTCAATAATCTGATCATGGGCGGCACTATATTCCCACATAAACGCATACATAAAACCACAGGGACTTCAACAGATCACACTACACAGAAGCAAATCGACCATATCTGCATCAACTGAAAGTTCAGGAGGATGATGGAGGATGTTAGAACCAAGAGAACAGCTGATATAGCATCAGACCATCAATTGCTGATCGCCAAGATGAAATTGAAACTCAAGAAGCACTGCACAACAGGGAGGACAACATCACAGAAGTTCAATACGGCCTTTCTTCAGGATACTAACAAACTCAACAAATTCAAGATAGTCCTCAGCAACAAGTTCCAGGCCTTTCATGATCTACTCAATGGAGAAGGAACTACTATGGAGAACAACTGGAAGGGGATCAAAGAGGCAATCACTTCAACATGTCATGAGGTCCTGGGCCACAAGAAGCATCATCACATGGAATGGATCACTGTTGATACACTGGATAAGATTCAAGAAAGGAGGAACAAGAAGGCAGCAATCAATATCAGCCGAACAAGAGCAGAGAAAGTCAAGGCACTAGCTGAATACACAGAAGTAAACAAACAAGTGAAGAGGAGTATCAGAACCGACAAACGGAAATATGTGGAGGATTTAGAAATGACGGTGGAAAAGGCTGCAAGAGAAGGAAATGTGAAACAACTGTATGACACTACATAGAAACTCATTGGAAATTCTAATATTCACCTTGTTTTTAAAGATCTAGAAAAATTAACTGACTTATGAGATCATCACTGTTTAATTTTAAGCAATCAAATTAATTACGTTAATATTAGATGTCACAAATTTATTGTCAGTTAACGTTGTCTTTGTTCATTCAGAAGACGATTCTGCGGACTGTTCATAAAGAACTTCGAATTATTTGATTTCTTGTTTTCAGATAACCAACAGTGAACACATGAAGATGTTTATTTCTTGTTGATTTCAGCTAAACATCGTTTATGCAATTTAAATATCCACAAAAGTATGTTCTGAACACTTGACTACTTATTAGTAATGTGCATTGCACAATCAGATTTTTAGAATTTTGATCAGTGATTACTTGTTTATCCTAGTTTGGACTATACAATGATATTGTTTCAGTATATCAGATAATTCATCTTTGATCTAATGGAAGTACTTCTACTCTCAACTTAAAGATTTAATTTATCCGTTTTAATAATAATCAACTCTGTTGACAAGAATGCTCATCATGATTGTAAAAGCCTATAGTTACCCTTGTATGAATGAATTTTGTAGATGTCATGATATTAGGCCAAATTATTTTTTTATATACAAAACTTTCAAGTTTGTCGTTAAGACACCAGTTTACTCTAATGTGATTCCATACTTGAATAATATTTGTTTTTAAAAATTGCATACTACAGGGGCTGAAATTATTTCACATGCAGCACTTCCAGGGTGACTGTCAGTTAATGGTCCGAACAAATGAACAGTGTAGGGCATGAGGTCAGCAACATCATCCTGTAGAAGACAACCTTTCTAAACACACGCTAATATCATGGAAATAAAATGACATCATATTTTTGGGTAATATTATTTGCAAAGGATTTCAATGAGAAATAATAATTAACTTGATTGGTATTATAAGATTGTATTGTTGTTACATAAGTCTTTTTGACAGAAATAAAGCATTGAACAATCTCTTGAATTCTGAATAATCATAGCTTGCATTTATGGTTGTATCTGACGCAACAATATTGAAGATCATGCGTTCATAAGACTAGATCTGAATTAATTCTTATTAAAAGAAAATAAAATGTATTGAAAAAACGTTTCTTCGTTCAAATATTTCCTCGTATTAGAAAACGTAAATCCATCAGTCAGTAGTTTTCAACATAGAATATTAACATGAGTGCATTGGTTCAAGTTGTTGGTGCATACACTTACAGTGAGATGAAATTATCAAGTTAAATTTCAAAGTAATAAAAGTCGTTACTTCATCGGTAGTAGAAGAAATGAATAGTGATAGGAAGAAAAAAAAATAAAGCATTAGAAGATCTTAGTACTCAAGATCTGAGAGAAGATGAAAAATCAATTGCTACCTTGATCTGGCGGTTGGGCCCATATTTTGTAATAACACAATTGAACTATATAGACTGGAATAGTTCTCACTTTAGGTTCTACTGTAACAGATAGATGGATTGGAGAACGGTGAAACCAAAATCAACAAAACAGAATTCAGTCCTCCTGTTAATTACATAGATGTATGATAGTAGTAAGGCGTTTCTTTCAGGTAATCACTATTAGCAGTGATACTACTTACTGATAATGGACGGATGGAATTAAGAAATGTAATCCCTAAAAATGTCACGCCTCACTTTACCCTACAGATTTTAATCTTTATAATACGGATCGAACACATCAGAAACATTCATTTAAAAAGTTATGTGATTGACCTCAAATAATTGTATATTGGGCTCTGCAATCACGATCCTAAATAGCTTTCATCAGGTCCCTTAAGACAAAATATCATTTTAGTGTGGGAGACCGGTACAAGATAATTTACCTCATACTTCTAAGATCCTCAAAAGAAAGCTTAAGAAATTAGTAATGATGTCAGAATAAAATAAAATAAAACTGTTAATGGTCATTTATATGAATAATTAAAAAAAAGAAAAACTAAATCTCTTAAAGGACGCTGTTATGATGATTTGTGGAATTCTACTATAAATTGTTAACAAAACCTAAGCTTACAATATACTGTAAACTAGTAGAGTATAGCTATCTATTGGATGATCTTTGAAATCCAAAAGATGAATTGGTTTAGATTATTTTATTCGCTTGAACAGTACCTAAAATGGTTCCAAAAATCATTCTACTATGCCCATTTTTAGATATTTTAAATACCACTACTACTACTACTACTACTACTACTACTACTACTACTACTACTACTACTAATAATAATAATAATAATAATAATAATAATAATAATAATAATGACATATTACTTACTTACGCCTGTTACTCCCAATGAAGCATAGGCCGTCGACCAACATTCTCCAACCCACTCTATCCCAATCGACCTTCCTTTCTAGTTCTATTCAGTGGATGTTCATTCTTCTCGTGTCTGTCTCCATTTCTCGAAGTAATGTGCTCTTTGGTATTCCTCTACTTCTCCTTTGGCCTTGAGGATTCAATGTGAGGATTCGCCTTGTGACGCAGTTGTGTACTTTCCTCAATGTGTGTCCTATCCACTTACAGTGCTTCTTTCTATTTTCTTCCTCCACTGGAATCTGGTTTGTTCTCTACCACAACAACTTGTTGCTAATAATGTCTGACCAACGGATCAGAAGTATTTTGCGTAGAAAGCTGTTGATAAACACTTGTATCTTCTGGATGATAGCTTTCGTAGTTTTCCAGGTTTCTGCCTCACACAGTAGAACTGTTTTGACATTTGTATTGGAAATTCTGACTTTGGTGTTAGCAGTTGACAAATATTTTGAGTTCCAGATATTCTTCAATTGTAGATATGCTGCTCTTGCTTTATCGGTCCCTGACTTCACATCTGCATCAGATCCACCGTGTTCATCAATGATGCTGCTCAGATGTGTAAAAGTTTTCACATCTTCCAAATCTTTTACGTGAAGTGTGATTGGATTGGCGCATGCTGTGTTTTATCGGAGAATCTTGCTTTTCTGTTTGTGTATATTGAGACCTACTGCTGCTGTAAGTATCATCAAAATTTACTTAAAACTCTAGTTATCTTATGAATTTTATTTCCGTTTTGCATTAAATCTTAAAGTAGCCTTCATGTTTGTTCAGATCAATATTCATTTACCTTATGGAAGTTCACGTGCAATTCAGTTTGTTCACATTTAATTTGGTTAAGACCTGTTGTTAACTCATTTAACGGTTAGAGTCATCCGTACAATAACAACTTATCTATACCATTATACATTTATTATTGTTACACTTGTATGAATATGTATGCTTCAGCATTGCTTACCGCCTACACATATATTCCTTCTGATAGCTTTAATGTTTGTCACTTAATTAATTCAATGATTCATTCATTTCACTATGCACATTTTAATCCTGTCCATTGACTCGCCAACTAGCTCACTCGACTAGCTCATTTGATTTGCACACTCACTCGCTTGACCGCTTGCATTTCAGCACTACTCTTTCATACTTGCTTAGTGTACCTATAATTTTGGTTATCTGTGCATGGTGCAATAATAAACGTAATCAACACTTCGTAATCACCTTCTGATTAATACACAGTTAGGGCTGTTATCTATTAACAGTTATCAGAACGAATTATATACCGACTACCACTAATTTAACTTCGATCAATCTGCCAAAAAAACACTAACAATAAACTGATTCTAAAACAATGTTTCAAATAATTATTAAAAGTCAGAAGGGGTTTTGTGGAGGCTTTAGAAATCTCATTAGTTTGAAATCATGAGTCAGTTGAAGCTAGACCAGCATGGAAAACCTGTAAGCACTGGATGGCCGTTTCATCCTAGAATGAGACTCCTCAGCAGCTTCTATTTTTTATTCAACCAATTCAACTTTATGAAATAAATATTTTATAAACATACATATGAGTGAACATGTATACAAACAATATGCATATTAAATAATTTATTCGGACCAGTTTTGTTTCTACTTTCTTTCTTTCTTTTTTTCTTATGACCACGCACAACAATTCCGTTTGCACACACACACACACACACAAACGCAAAAATAGATAAATATTCTGAATCTTTCTATACATTTGCCCATTTTATTTTATTTTACATGTAGTCAAGTGTAAATCTACACACACACACACACACACACACTCACACACAAACATACATACACTTTAATATATGCACATAAATAGTATTTCAATAATTTTATTCAAATTATAGTCACTATGTTGTATATTAACAAGTAAATATATTCAAACCAAGATTGTTTCTCCTTTTTACAATATTGTAATGATCATAAAATGAGTAGTTTAAAAGCAATTATAAAAAGTGTTGATATGCCTGATGTAATGCAACAAGATGCTGTAGATATATGTGCTATGGCAATTAAAAAATATTCAATGGAAAAAGATATTGCAGCATTTATGAAAAAAGAATTTGATCGAAAATATTCACCTAGTTGGCATTGTATAGTTGGATCACATTTTGGCACGTAAGTTTACTTTACACTTTGTATATTTTCATTAGAGTTATCCTATGATATTTTATCAAGTAGTTTGTAAGTATAATTTTCATAGAGTAAATGAATTCATAAAGTATTTTTTTTTTAAGTAAAGATAGATAGTGGCTAGCAGTGGAATCGAGGACGCACGTTTCATCTTATTTGAGACTTGTCAGCTGCACATATACCAACATGAGACTGATCAATTGTAGTTCTAAATAACAATGGGAAGATACATATAAAACAACAATAAGTGAATTTAATTCATCAAGTTGTTTAGATGATGACTGCCTATGATTATGAAATTTCTGGAATAGGATAATAAGATTGTCCTTTAGTTTGACAATTAAAAACAATTATAAATGAATCTTATTTTGTTGTAACCTTTTAAACATTTGAAATGTAATAAACAACCTTATCTTGAGTTGATATGATAGATGGATAGAAACTGTTGTGTGAACTTATTTGACCTTTGCATATGTAATTGTGACATTATCAGTTATATTTTAAGTATTCCTATGCAAGTTACTGACCTTTCATCCATATAGGCGTGCTTCAGTGTGTATATATGCAATGCCGATTTCCAAGCTTAATCGGTTCATTTCATTCATAGTTTATCTACTCATATGAATTCATAAACTATAACCTTCAAGTTACATTTTGTATTTACCTTGAATTTACCTTTTATATACGATCGTTCCAAAGTACGGTTCCTAGAAGTGTTATATATGAAATTAAATGATTAGAATATATATTTCATATTCATTATCATTGTACTCAGATGCTCCACTGTAAGTCTTCTATAAAAAAATATGGATTTTCCTCATATTTAATTTACTACTTACTACAGAATATATAGTCATGAATCGTTATCATTACATAACTAAGTACATGATAAAACGTTTGATTTCTACAATAACTTTCGCCTTACCGTTGAATGAACAGTAGCAAATGCCTCCATAGTACTTAATAGCTGAATGGTTTGAATAACATTTGTGAAGTTTACTTCCATTAAGCACACAGGAAACAATACGAACTGAAGTGAGATCCAGATTTATAAATTGTAATTGTATACTTTGTCAGCTCTTGAAATACACATTATCCTTTTGATAATTCTAATACACTTTACTTTGAATGAAGTTCTTTTTAAAAGAACTTCTGAACTTAAATGAATACACATGAAAGCAAAGTATATTTTTTTCACGAAGCACTGTCGATGTATTCTCCTTTAGCTTATTTTGAGATAATTTCCAGTATGATTCTATGAGATAGGGACAAAAGATAGGGCCTGATCCATGTTTCCTATTCATCGATACTTGTCTAAATGGTAAATTTCTTATTCTGAGGGAAATTATACCTATCTGAAAATCCTTACATGTGTTGCACAAAACTACTGGCCTTAGCTCAAGACAATAATACGGAACTATTCAGAATTATATCGACCCACTATAGGGTTTCTATGTTTACATTGATTAGCTACTGAGTAATAACCAAAGTCATTTTACTGATTTAGTCGTAATGGTTGAATATTGTTAAAACCGTTTGTTATACAGGTACAGAATTAAATGATGATTACTTTGTTTATCATTATTTATTTTGTTACAATACAGAGTTACCAGCACCAGTTCCTAGTTATTATAGCATTTAATTCAGTTCATTCAAATATACATTTTACAAAAGTCTTTTAGTAGTTAGTATCTCGTCTCATTAGTGTCCGCGAAAGTTTTCCACCAGTTTAGTTGCTACAACCACTTTTTTTTCAATGAATCATAATTTTAATGAATAAGTTCTAATGTAATGGTCTCTCATTTCTTTCATGGATAGATAATGAGAAATGTTTAGCAATGGTTGATACGTTTCAGAACTAGTTTTTCACATTTAGCATCTTGATAAGCTATAAGCTTTCTATCATAATAAATGGGTACAGTCTGTTAATATTTTAGAATTATTCACTTCTAACGCAGAAGAGTATTTTTGGCATCATTTGCAAAGTTGACTAAAATATTTGACCAGACTCACCTAATGTGTGTAAAATTGTACATTTTTCACTAAGTAATGATTATCCAATTCAAGTGACACCATTACAATGATGGTCAACAGAATGTGATCAACAATATGGACTAAATATCACAGTAGTATTTAATGTTCATTGAAAATTCTGATAGTTTAGATTATAGAATGATAAAAAATTTCCACAAAGATTTATTTCAATAGTTGAAATCATGGATCAATTGAAGCTAGACCGCCATGAAAAAACTTGAAGCACTGGACAGTTTGAACGTCTCGGAGGGGGGGCGGGATCATGGATGAGCACTGCTGAGGTGTCCCATACTAGGACGAAGCGGCCGTCAAGTGCTTCCAGGTTTTCCATGCTGGTCTAGTTTCAGTCAGTGAGATTTCTAAAATCTCCACAAAACCCCTTCTGATAAAGATTTTATTTATTCTCTCTTGTGTGTGTTTTTGTTGTTCTGTTTTAGAGACAAGTCTTCCTGAAAGTGAAAATAATAATAATAATAATGTTAATAGTTTTGAATGTGTTGTAAGGCGTGTTATTTATGTGGTTTTTGATTTAGCTAGTAGCATATTTGTCTTATCAAAACACTTTTGTATCATAGAAAACTTATATGTACTTTAGAAAACTGATTGTTTTACTACAGTTTCTGAAATCTTATTACTTATAGTATATCATATCCCTGTAAATAATTATACATTAATATTCAATAGGGGTTTGTTCTTTGAGCTGGATAGTTTGGTCGTGGAACTTTCATCGTACTTCTGAAGAATATCATCAGCAAAAACTTCCTGTAGAAGTCATAGAACTGATTAATTTGATAAATCATATGTTGACATTCAAAATAAGCGCAAAGTTATTATGCCAGTAATATCAGTATCATGTCAAGTTATTACTACTTATTTCAATAATATCATTGTTGTTATTAAAGATATTTGAGTCATTAATGAAAACCTGTTAAATGTTTATAAAATGTTTAGTCATTTTCAAATGAGAAGACAAAGGTTATGCTGTGAAAGACTTATGCATTCACTTAACCAAACACTTAGCATCAAAGTTAAGATCGAATAAATAGGTTATGGAAGTGTGTTGTTACAAATAAGCAGCAATTGACGATTGTACACCTGGTAATAGTAGGAGAGTGTGTTTAAAGTATGAATGAATTGTCAGAACTCATAGAGGAGGCTAAGTCTTTTAATAATCTATAAGTGTGTTGTTTTTTGGTTTGTATTGAAGTATCTTAGAAGTAGCATATTCATAAAGCTATATCTTCTTCAGAAAATGGTCGCCTAATACTTGTATTTATTTGAGTCTGAGATTTTTTCAGTTTGGAATGTGTTTGGTTCATATCTCAACATGCTAATCTTGAAAGCTAGATCATGAGTACAGCATAATCGATTTCACATATTAATATTAGTTATGCTGATGTGGGTCACAATGCTTCTTGATTGCAACCATTGTTGATTATTATATGTAACAATACTGAATAATATTCGTACTTTTTGTATTCCATAGACGTTTCTATTTAAACTATTCACTGGGAAATTTAAACTAACGTTTGAAGTGAATTATCAGTTAAATCCTTCATTGCTAAAACTTAAATACGGATTTATTATCAAGTGGCAACTTTAGGACTCTACGGAACATTTCATCGTTTGGCATGTATCTACCCACATCGAACCTCCAAAGGTTGAATAGTGAAGGCTTACTGTTTCAACGAAATATGCCTTTGAACAAATTTCGATTACATTAGGAGAGACTATAAGACATCATACCTGATGTACATATAAAAGATATCTAAAAGCTACAATCAACCACCTCTTTACTTTACACGAACACACAATTCACTTCATCTTTAACATTAGGGTGCTTTCAATCTATCAAGCGCAATAAGTTTACTGGTACTTCTGAGGTTTAGGCCCGTAGCTTTTATCATCAGATCAACCAACAAATTTGATGCTTACCATCTTATCATCTAATATATAACTTAAAATATATACATCCTTTCTACTGAATACCTTCTAACTATATTTTCATTCTAATCTTTTTTTCTGAATAACCTCTTTCAGGTATATTTCACATGAAGCAAAACATTTTATTTATTTCTTTTTGGATAATCATGCTGTTGTATTATTCAGAACTGGAACAATCAATTGAAAATCAATATATGTAAACTAATAATCTTTTTATTGGACAATTCTATCAATCTATTGTATCCTATTGATAACAGTACAAAATTTCCTATTTTCTACATACTGATTAAATCATCTTATGTATTCTTTTATAAAGACAAATCTAACGAATAATCAACAACTCACTATATATATACATATATATATATACTTTATTTGTCTTACACTTATCGTCATACTACTTACTTACTAACGCCTGTTACTCCCAATGGAGCGTAGGTCTTCGACCAGCTCCCGTGATATATTTATTTCATGTAATCAATATTTTACAAGAAATTCATATTTTCTATCAAAATGACTATTTTTTTTTCTTTGAGAAAAAAAACTCTTGTTCAGAAAAGAGCATATTTTATTGTTGTTAATCTTTATATTTGATTAGAAATATGTTTGAAGTGTATGAGAATAAAATGATCTTTGTATGAATTAGTTATGTTGATGTAACTGTAAATATAGATATGAAGTATCTTCAAAGTGTCAGAACTAATGGTAACAGTAGGTTGTTCAGATGAAAATAGATAGAATAGACAAAGATGGATAGTGGTTAGTAGTGGAAATCATGTATACGCGTTTCATCTTATTTGGGACTTGTTATCTGGATATACCTGAATCACAGATTTGATATATGCACATATGTCAATAAGAGACTGATCAATTTCAGTCTTAAATATCAATAAGAAGATTCAAGTAAAACAAAACCGATTGAATTTAGATGAAATAAGGTTTAAACCTTCAAAGCTAAACAACTTAATAACTAAGCAATATACATATATATGTAGTAGCAATGACATTCAACATTTAAGGATAGTTGAAGTACAGTTGACAAATTTTGATGGAGTTTTGTACTCTAAGCTAGATGGTTTAATCGTTAAATTTTTATCGTTCTTCTGAACGACATCATCAGCAGAAACTTCAAGTAGAAGTGAAGTGTTCGAATTTCTGCACATGTGATTCACACCTTGTCCTGTAGACCTCGATGTTGATTGGTTCATGTTGACCTTAAACCTGTCATTAGATGACAAAGCCAATTAATTGAGTAACCTGTTACTTTGAGATTATGGTAGCTCCTGATTAAGACACTAAAACTAATATTATATTTGTTATTTGATTTATTAGATTAAGCATAAGAGTAATTAACTATCTTCTAGTTTCTTACAAGAAGTTTCCATATCTGTTAATCGGTTAAGTTACATTTTGACCACATTTGTTTGCGAACTTAAGAAATGCTTTAGTAAATTGAAACTTTTAATTTGTCCTGTAACCATGATGTTTATTCCACAAATATAAACTAAATTAATTCCCTTTTTTGCAGTTTATCAAAGAAAATTAACCTTAACTACAATCATCATCCATCCGAAGATTTCAATATCAATCTGATGAAATCAATTCATCTAGTTGTACTATGAATTTATAGAAATACTTAAGTAATAAATATCCTATTAAGATACTATATAATCCAGATTATAATAACTGAGTTTTTGATTGAGATCATGAACCGATTGATGTTGGACCACCTTTGGAAACCTGGAAGCACTGGACGGCCGTTTCATCCTATTATGGGACTTCTCAGCAGTGCGCATCCGCGATCCCGCTCGCGGGATTTGAACTCAGAGCCTTCGGTCTTCGCGCGCGAACGCCAATCTTCTGGACAACTGAGCCGGCATCCATTGGTGTTCGTGTCTAAGACCAACCAATCCACGAAATTGCGCGACCGTCTCCCATTGTACTGAAGTAGATACCTGTCTCTACCCGACATGGATTAACTCCACTGATCACGGCCTCTCACTAGAACTCCGAGAATTCCCTCACGAAGCTAGTCACTAGTTAGCACATGTTTATTACTAGTATAGAGGTTTTGAAGACTATTAAGTTTTTGATTGAGATCATGAATTAAAATTCCCCTTCAGTTCTAATGATTTAAAATTTAGCTTACTTAAAAGAAATGTCCTACATATAATAAGTCACTAGATCTATTCTCCATAACTGGTTTAGTATGTTACATTGAAACAACATAAAATGAACCAAAAAAATAATTTAAAAGTTACTTATATGTTGAACTTTTTGAAGGATTATTTCTTGAGAACAGTACATATTTACAAAACATTAATTGTATTGTGGATTAAAAAGACATATCAGATGAGTCAATTGAAACGAAATCATCATAGAAAACCTAGGAGCACTAGACGGCTAGTTCTTCTCAGTGTGCGACTCCTAAGCAGTGCGCATCCATGATCTCATCCCAGGACCTATCTGTGTCGCGCGCGAATACGTAACCTCTAGACTACTGAGCCGGCAGCTTTTAAGTGTAATGATGACTATATATATATATATATACAAAACTAAGGGTTCTATTCTAATGAAATAGACTTCAAATTTGCTTCATGATGAATTATGTAATCTGGTTGACACAATTATTTTAGCAAGGTTTGTTGAAATAACTCATAGTATCGTTGAATAAGAAAGAGAGAATTTAGCGAAGAAAATTTTCCTATCTACGAAATCATTTACTTAAGATGTACATCTGTATATATAATTATATATGGAAAATAGATGTAAATGATCTCATCGAAAAAATCAAAAAAAGTTTTCTTCGCTGAATCCACTTTTTCTTGGCAAGATTTTTTTCTACGGGATGGGGTTGCCGGCCTCACGCCTAACCCTCCTCCTTTATTCGGGCTTGGGACTAACAGTAACTTTAGGACAGCTACAAGAGGAGTTTTCATGATGAATTATTAATAATATTTTTTTCTAAATTTACACAACTAGATAACAGCTGACTGAAGTATACGGAACTGAAAGAATCAATAGTGAATAGAAAAATTCTTTCATAATCATCAAATTTCTTATATCCGTAGTATAAACCAAGTCATTCGAGATTTTCCCATAACCAATGATAATAATTTACTTGGTATTATTTACGTGAATCTTCCCATTGATGATTAGGACTGCAATTAATCAGTCCCCTTATTGACACATGTACATACTGTGCTTATTGCCTCGATATTTCCTTAATTCACAAGCATTATAAGCAAAGATGAATAGTGGCTAGCAATGGAATCTAAGACGCGTGTTTCTTCCTATTTAGAACTCGTCAGCTGGATGTTCACCCCGGGACTCGAGCCCAGTATTGTTACTAATTGCAAATACATAGAAATAAATTAAAGTTGTAAAATCAAAAATATACAGAAAACATTTTTTTATTTAAGAAAAGGAAAACACTTTTGTTCAAATTATTTTTTGATGATAATAGTTTACTAAGTACATCGATAAAGTAAAAGACTGACTTCTCCACAATGTATATAAATGAAACACTTTTCATCATGTGTGATTGACCTAAAAAAAGAAAAAAAAGAAGAAAATAAAAGCTTGAGATAAAGTTAATTTGAAGTTTACTTCGTGAAAGGTTTTTGTAACAAAATGATGTATTAAAACTGTTTCCAATGCTTTTCATAAACATTTCATTATCAACATTGATTCGAATAAATGACCATTTGATTTGATCTAGTAAGCTCAGTTATGTTATTGAAAACTGTTCACTGGAAATCGATGGATGCAAAGGAGCATCTGGATTTTGAGTTCTTCTATTCTTTTAGAAAATAATTTGAAAAAAAATACGAGATTGTGTAAAACAACTTACAGACTTTTCACAGGTTGAAATCATGAGTAAATTGAAACTAGACCAGCATGGAAAACCAGGAAGCACTGGACGGCCGTTTCGTCCTAGTATGGGACTCCTCAGCAGTGCGCATCCGCGATCCCGCACCCCACGAGATTCGAAGCCAGTACCTATCAGTCTCGCTCCAGGCGCTTAATCAACTAGACCACTGAGCCAGCCGGCATCCAACGGTGTTAATGTCTAACTTCAACCAATCCACGAAATTCCACCACCGTACACCATTGTCTTCAGTGAGTTCCTATCTCACAACAGACCTGGTTGAACTCCACTGGTAACGACTTCTCACTAGAATTCCAGGAGTGTCTTCTGAATTCAGTCACTAGTGAACAGGTAATTATTATTATCAGAATGGGTTTTGTGGAGATTTTAGAAGCCTCAATTGACTCATGATTTCAACCTGTGAAATTTCTAAAATCTCTACAAAACCCATTCTGATAACTTACAGATTATTAAGATGAGGGCGAACATAATTAATAATATACTGAAACACTACAAATGGATTATTGATGAAAAATCAATACAGAACTGTTTACAAGTTCGATTGTGTTGTTTCTAATCGAATTTATATATTGAAAAGTTGGTTTATGAAATCATGACTCAAATATTAAAAAAAGCATCTATCGAAAAAACACCCCTAAGTAATCTTGTAGATTATTGCAATCAATAAATCAAACCAAGTACAGTAGCACATGATATATTTAACTACCATCGAATCAATATTATAAAAAACACCCCAACAATTGAAAGGTGTTCTTTTTTTCTAATCTACGGATAGGAGATTAATTAGAATAATTTACCCTGTCCTTCGATGTTCAAAAGAAAGAAAAGCTTACTTATACAATCGAATTCACAAATCTTTGCAAATTGTCACATTAGCTAGTTTTTAAATCTTATAATAATCATATACGAATTAGGTAATGTAGGACATACATTAGGCATATCATCAAACTACATCACGAGGCAAGCCCTGACTTGAAATTCTGAAGGGAAACGGAGAAGAGGAAGGCCAAAGAACACATCACGTCGAGAAATAGAAGCAGAGATGAAAAGGATGAATAACAACTGGAAGGAGCTAGAAAGGATTGCTCAGGACAGAGTTGGAGGGAGAGTGGTGATGGGCGGCCTATGCTCCTTCACGAGGAGTAACTGGCGTAAGTAAGTAAGTAAGTAAGTAATTTGCATTTCCGATACTTATTAAAACAAAGTATAAACAGAATCATGTTTTATGGAGTCATATTAAGTTTTAGGTTTGGTTGTGATCTAGAATAAAGTTTCATACCTCAGCTATTTTTTTTTTAGAAATAAACAGTTTATAAATTCGATTTTCTAATCTATGTGTGTATATATGTGTATCTCCATACACATTGTACTTTATCAATATTCCATGAGTTCTGTCATTCCTCTCATTATACATGTGATTAAACTTGAAACATAGATTCTCAAATATTATAAATATCTTTCGTTAAATATAATATCCTATGCTGACACTTCAATGAAAACAGTTGACAGAGATCGTTATGAATTGACTTTTGTTAACATACACTAATAAGAGGCATGGAAATAAACTTTTATTTTACAAATGAGTTACTAGTTACATTTTTTTTAAAAAAAAATGAATAGTTGCTAGGTTAGATTATAGTAACTATTTCATGAGAATCAGTTAATCTATGTGTTCAATACCTATACTTGAATGAAAATCAAAATAAATCAATGTCCATTTGTACTAACCTATAAGTATATCCATTAATCTATTCTACATGTGTACCCTGTTTGGTGTAACTTATATATTTGATGCAAACAAACACTTAAAGTTATGATCAATAACCGTATTCTATTTGTACACCATAAATGTTCATTCTAATTTACATATGTAAACATAAATTATATAATCAACAATTCTAAAACTTTATACATTTTTTTTTATAACTGATTAATTCATGAAGGTAGTTTCAATGGTTGCTAAATGATACGATTCTACTTTATATAAACACATACTGTTCATAGTGTATTGAATAAGAACATAATTGAGGACAATGGAATATATTTGAATATAAAATTACAGAATATCTTAGTAAAATTTGAGAATCATACAGTCAATACTTCATTTACAAAATATCAATCAATCGTCTCAAACTTCATTGTTTTGTTTTTTTGTTTCCATGTCAATCATTCTCTGTTCTCGTTCTCATTACTTTGATTCGCTTAACGTTCTGCCGCCACGTATTTCACTCTCGATTAGTGATAGATACTACTTATATCTATCGACATCAGTAGCATGTACCACAATCGGACATGAAAAATTGAATTAGGCTTAATGTGATATAATTAATGCTAGAAGTTCTGATTTATATATTCAATTAAACAACCAATTAAATAATAATAAAAATGATACTTGAAAATTTGTGAAACATACGGATGTTATCTGAAGGGGGTTTTGTGGAGATTTTAGTAATTTTATAGTTGAATTCATGATTTAATTGAAGCTAGACTACCATTGAAAACCTGTAAGAACTGGAAGGTTATCTCATCCTACTTTGGGGCGCCTCAGCTATGTGCATCCACAGTCGTGCACATGGGATTCGAACCCAGGGCCTTCAATCCCGCTCGCGAACGCTTAACCTCTAGACCACAGAGCAACGAAATTGCGCCACCGTACACCATTGTCTTCAGTGACCTACTGTCTCACAAAAGACCCGGTTGAACTCTACTTATCACGGTTTCTCATCAGAACTCCAGGAAATACCTCTTGAAGTTAGATAATACCATAATTGATTGTCGACTCAGTGGTCTACAGGTTAAACGTTCGCGCGCGAGACCGATAGTTCCTGGGTTCGAATCCCGCGAGCGGGATCGTGGAAGAACACTGCTATATAGTTCCATACTAGGAGTAAACGGCCGTCCAGTGCTTTCAGGTTTTTCATGGTGGTCTAGCTTCAATTGACTCATGAATTCAACTATTGACTATTTAAATGATATATTTATAAATTTAGTGAGCTATACAGTAGAATAAATATCTAAACTTGAAGATTAGTTGATGGGACTATAATTTATAGACGAACCAATCAGATATAAGGTTTTTGGTTCCAAATTTATTTATACATTTGACAAAATATCATTTTGTCATCATAGCTGATGTCAGTTCGTGATGAAAACCCGAAATTTAATTTCTAACCTTAATCGTCAACTGTAGATCATAATTCTCATTCTTCCTACAGGTTTATAATCCTTATTCGGTTTTGGTTTTTTAGGTGAACAGTATCAAGGTCATTTTAGCGTCGCTCAAAAGTCGTCCATAAATTACAGTCTCAACAACTTTTCAAATGAGAATTCACTAATAAAATAAATTTTGGTTAAGTTAGCCTTTTATTTTATTCAAAATATCTCAACAATGATAGTTATAACTAAATCAGCAAAAATATAAACAGTCTATAAACATTAATTCATATTTTTAGGCTAAACATTTGGTGTCAGACTGGGGATTTGGGGAGACTGTTGTCATTTCAGTAGTTGAAATCATAAGTCAACCTAAACTATACGATCTGAGTTAGGATGAAACGGCCGTCCAATGCTTTTAGGTTTTCAGTAGTAGTCTAGCTTTTGTTTCATAAACCAATTTCAATTAGACAACAGTTCAAAATCAAGAGGTATTAAGTAGTTTTTTCACCATAATTTGATACTATTCAGCTATGTACATAATTTTACTGGGGTATTAAAAACCATTATGTTATGATTTCATAACAAGGAAGTAGACTTCAGACAGCTGAATGCTCATCTAGGTAGATACGTTCCTAAAAATTCAGTGAATGATATTATATGACTATCGTCAACTGTCATTTATGACGCTTGCTTCAGTCCAATGAAAATAACCTATTAATAAACCTGATATTATTATTGTTCATACTGAAAATTATTTTAATTCTGTTATTAAGTATTCAAATGTTTTGCATGTAAATTTTATATAAAGACTATTATTTTAACTCTGAGATGCAGGTAGATTCAGTTGATGAGTCCCAAATAGGATTTCACCGCTAGCCGCTATCTATCTTTGCATATAATGCTTGTGAATTAAGACTATATTGAGGCAATACGCACAGTATGCACATATGCCAATAAGAGACTGATCACTTGCGATCCTAAACATCAATGGGAAGATCCAAACAAACAAAATATCTAGAAACGTCATTGTAGTATTGTTCTTCTGATAAAAGTTAACTTGCAATAAAATATTATCACTAATTGATGAAAGAAAGTGTAGTGGCTGGTCCTATGTCGAACCCACATAGCTTAACTTATCTTCCAGACAAACCAATTTATCCATTCTTCTTGAGTCATGTTTTAACCTTGTTAAGTATTCGCTTATCAACCTTGACCGTTTTATATGAGCGTATGTGTGTTCATTTCTTATCCTACTGCTCACATTACTGCAGCTTATTTTTGTGTAGCTATAAATATCTATTAACGCTTGATTAAATGCAATCAGCGTCATTTTGCTTCGTCCCTTTGATTGCCTACTCAGATCAATGAGTGTACAAAATATATGTAATCGAAAATCCTTTCTCGTATTTGACTTATTTAATTCCGTTATTCACTAACGTGAATTAAGTCGATTATTATATACGAAGATTGGCGATATGTATATAATCAATAGCAATCAGAAATCATCCTATTGGAGTCAGATCCCAGGCCACTATAGTGGTGAGTCCATCGACAACATTGTGCGGTATAATTGACGTCAAAATGAAGGGCCACTAAAAACTTAATTCATCACTTTTTACATATTCATGGTATATCTTCTTGAAGATTTATTTAAACATACAAATTTTCGAATAAAATTAACTAAGAATTAGTCACTCAATATAAACACACTGCCTCCAAGTTTTCCACAGTAATCTAGCTTCAGTTGACTCATGAACTCAACCATTAAAAAAATTATATAAAAAAGATTAGCGAGACTATAATTTACGGACGAACCAATCAGGTATAAGATAACAGATCTCGGATTTTAGCGTGAAATTCACTCATCCATTTGGATAATCAGATTCATGGCATTATAGCTGATGTCAGTTCATGATGAAAACCCTAAATCTAATTCCTAACCGTAATCATCAACTGTAAATTATAATTCAAATTTCTCACACAGGTTAATAACCTTCATTTGGTCATGATTATTAAGTGGACACTCTCAAGGTCAATCTAACATCACTCGAAAGTCGTTCATAAATTATAGTCTCACCGAAAGATTAGTTCCGAGAAGAGTTCTCTTTTCGGAGAATTCATTTTCAAAGCTGTACAATCATAAATACATATACTTATTTTTCAGAATGATAATAATTATAACAGTTTTGATAATAAACTTTTGTTAGACAATGGTGATATCCATAAAACCTCTTTCTGACAAACATATATATATATATATATATATATATATATATATATATATATATATATTATAATATAACTTACATTCCAAATTCATGACCTACAATACATTGCCATATTGGTCCATATAATTTATCAAAATTTTTTTTCATAAACATAGCTACATCTTTTTCAGTATGATAATAATCCAATGCATGTACACATAAAGTCAATGCGGTTGTTTTACGTTCTGTTGGTAATTCATTTGCTTCAACTACAATATCGTAATGTTTCATGATGAATCGGAATCGACTTATGAATAAACGTATATATATATATATATAACTGATATTCAACAATAGATATCTATTTACAAGACTTATTACAATTCACTTGATAGTACAATCATAAACTGAGAATAATTTAATTGGTGGTAATCATTCTAAGTTGTCTCTTTATTTAGAAATTATATATAAGTGAAGAACATTTTCACATTATTCGACACTTATAGAATCTGTCGTACTACTACTACTACTACTACTACTACTACTACTACTACTACTAATAATAATAATAATAATAATAATAATAATAATAATAATAATAATAATAGTAATAATAATAATAATGTGGTATATATATATATCACAATAATAATGAATTACAATTAATGAAGTGTATACAACCATTCAAATGTGTGGTATAGTCATGTGAATTTGAGTGCACCATTGTACGAAAAAAGTTAATTGGCTGGTTAATTGGTTAAATTATATGAGGTATATTTTATTTTGCACTTTATAAAGCATTAGGTTACATCATAGAGAGTGGTTAATAATCACACAGATAAATTATGAGTAATATATATGTATATATGAGTATAGTTAAGACTATGGCTACAAAATTAGTAAAAATAACAAATCGATTTTCATTACTGAGTGAAATTATTGGTAATTTTTTTAACTGAATAGGTGGGTTGTGGAGATTGTAGTAATTTAATAGTTGAATTGATGAGTCAATTTAAGCTAGATCACCATTGAAAAGCCTAGATTGGACATTAACACCGTTGGAGGCCGACTCAGTGGTTTGTAGTTTAAGCGTTTAAGTGTGTGTGAAACCGATGGTCCTGGATTGGAGTCCCGCATGCACGATTGTGGATGTGTACTTCTGAGGAGTCCTATACTAGGACGGAACAGCTTTCCAGTGATTCCAGGTTTTTGACGGTGGTCTAACCTAAACTGACTCATGAATTCAACTATTTAAGATATTTGCTATTAAGTTAATACATGTTATGATCTAATTAGGAGAATCTATTGTCTTTAAAGTAAGATAGATTATTTTAATGCTTAAGCAAAATACAAACTGAATCCGTGATCAGTAGAGAAACGTGTGAAAATACTTGACTTGTTTTTATTTACTGCGATGATAGCTCTTGAAAACAATAAATTAGATTTCTGAGGCATTCGATGGTTTGATTTGTCATACAGTGCACAGAAAATAACACATACATACATTGGTAATATTTAAACTTAAGGTAATTCAAATTGATATCATGAATGGATGAATGTTAGACCACCATTGAAAACCTAGAAGCACTGGATGGTCGTTTCATCCTAGTATGGGACTTCTCAGTAGTACGCATTCAGGATTTAGTTCGGTTATTTACTTACTCTGAAGAAGTCGCAGACCAAATTAAGTTCATAGATTCGGTAGTTGTTTCATGGCTTCACTTAAAAGTGATGACTTTAATCTAAATTGAGATCTTGTTAAATTCTCATATAGTAAGGGAATTATGGTTGGTATTAAATAGTGAAATGTCTGATTATTTTTAATACTGTACCGATAGTTTTAAAATTTATAAGGTATTAATTAATTTTGGACACTAGTGAACACTCTCAGTGAATTGTGATTTTGATTTTCTTCGTTCGCATTTACTTTCCCAGACACTTGAATTTTAGCATATGATTGTATAGGAGAACATATTTTGAGCATTTGGTGAGAAGACTTAACCTATGATGTAGTGAATCAATGTCAAGAGACTAAAGTTCATTATAGCAAGTAACTTCACTTGTTTACTAGAGTCCTTTAGTCTATGTCTATTACTGGTTGAGAATCAGCACCCCTCAAATATCTTAGGCAAACCTTTTATATACACTAACAAAGACTTAAGCTATGACTGCTCACAATTTATCCTCTAGTTTCATTAAAATTACCCTACCAGCGTAAAGGCAGTGAACAAAACATTTCAGACAGTCGATAAGCACATGCTGTTTATAACTTTCCACAGGTTTTTGCGTTATAATTTATATAAACTGGAATCCTGAGTTCAGTAATTCATGACTATGATTGACTAAATACTGAAGAATAAATAGTTTTACACTTACCATTATGTTTTGCTAAGCCATGTTTACAGGTGATCCCTTATACTTTGGAAGATATTCCTTGATGAGAGACGTATTTAATGTAGCTTCATAATAAAAGATAAATAGGTAAGCGAGCATCAAATTGTTCTCATGAGGTGAATTTTCCTTTCTACAGTTATGCACCATTGGCCGGCTAGTGTAGAATACTCTCAATCAGAAAAAATGTCTGTCCTATCGAATTATTCTAAACTCAAAATTCACTAAAATCGGCTTCTGATTTTCTCTTTTCCTCTATAGGTAAATGCTATCAATAATATTTTCACCTTAAATTTTTACTTGTCTTCCAAATACAAAATTTTCCCCTTAACTAACAACGCATGTCATTGAGAATATTAGTGAATTAGTATTTCCCACGAAATGTTGCACCCAGACATAGTTTCTAACTCACTGCCATAGAGCATCATTTTAATTAGTAATCAGACTTGGAGTATATGATAAATCTAAAACACATATTATTCAAAGTTTATAATAATAACAATGGTTGTTATGTTTACTACTGAATAATAAAACTGCATCACGAGGCAAGCACTAATTTAGAATCCTGAAGGGAAATAGAAAAGAGGAAGGCCAAAGAACACACTTCATCGAGAATTGGAAGCAGACAGGAAAAAGATGAATAGCAACTGGAAAGAAGTGGAAAGGATTGCTCAGGGCAGGGTTGGATGGGAAATGCTAGTGGGCGGCCTATACTGCTCGACGAGGAGTAATAAGCGTAAGTGAGTAAATAATTGGTGAAGTTGAGAGTTTTCAGTGAAAACTACAAAATTTTGTAACTTACGTCTCTACGTCTGTTTTCATTGCAAAAATTAACAAAAACACAATGAAATTTGTATATTTCATTTTATATACACAAAGCATAGTTTAATACTTCTGTACTATGTAAGATAATAGATAAAAGATATTTATGAGTGATATACACAGTTTGAACTTGGAAAAGCCAATCATAATTAAATCAAATCGTTCACCATATACCTTACTGTTAGCTTTCAGAGTGGTATCCAACTTCATATATTCTATCTCAGTAGTCCCAATAAAATATAAAGAGAATTAGTACTGACGAATGGGACAGCACTTAAGTTGACAAATTTTAAACACAAATGTCGGTTAAAACTAAAATCATACACCTTCTTTATATGATAGATTAAACAGAGGCCTTTCTTCAATAGTGCTAAACTAAGTGAAGCTAAGAATAGATAGAAAGAATAACAACTTGCATCTAGATATATTCACAATATTTACAAGATCATCAGTATTACAGCTGTCATGTGATTCCATCAGCGTTCTTAATTACTTCTAATGTTTAAAGCTACATGTAACAGTTTGATGATTAGAAAGAGAATGAATGTAAAATCATTACGAAGCGAGCATTTTAAACTCGATTTCTTGCAATCAACTCCGTTTAGTTCGATCTAAATTAACCTTACTTACATTATGTAAGATCGAACGTATCATTAAAAAAATTTACTCTCAGTAAACAACTTATAGTCAGACAGGACAAAAAGGAAAGGACATTAGCTGTGAAACATTCACTTTATTAGACAAGGTAACTTTCATAGATCTCTACACAGGTAGTCACATACATCAAAGCAACCAAATTTTTTTAAAGGAGTTATGAAAAAGAAGTATAGTTTAAACATTTCATTGAATGTTTCGTTTAACAACAAAATGGATTCATTTCACAATCAAGGCTTTCAGCAATAGACTAACCATGATTTATCATAGACTTAAACTTTTAGTCAATGGAGATGACAGATCGTTTAAAATATAAACAGTTGAATCACTATTGTTTTTAAATTACACAGGTTTCTATTTCCAAATCATATTATTTAATTTAAGATCTTTCTGGAGGTTATATTTTCGTTGAGCTGGTTAGTATAATTATGAAGCTTCCATTACTTTCCTAGACAACATCATTACTATATATTTGATAAGGAAGTGACTGATAAGAAGTGGGAGGCCTGTAGCTTTTCCAGAGTTACTGCCGGTCCCAAGCCTAGATAAAGGAGGAGGGTTGGGCATGAGGTTAGCGACCCCATCACGTAGAAAACTAACTCGCTTAAAAAGCTAACCAGGAAAAATAATTCAAACAATTTAAACTTTGCCCTGGGAGTTAGAAGGTCTTCATTTAGAAGAACTATGACACTTCATGATGAAATCCGAGTTCCTTCGGAAGCCACGAGCCCGATGCCCCTTCTAACAACCAGAGTAACAATTTCTATAGGTACATGGGAAGTCCGATAAGAAGTGCACTGATAATATTGTCTGTAAAGACAATGGAAGCTTCACGATTATACTACATGGTTTACAGAATAAATCAAGTTTCAAATCTTTTCCTTGATCAATAAATATTCTCCATTATATGAAAATTCACTATCTACCATTGAACACTGATTCAATGATTAACAAATATACTTTTAGACTTTTCCATTGTAAACATTGGAACTGAAACTGATAATCAATCATTCAACACTTTAAACATGTACCATTTTGAACAAACAAATCTTAGTCAATCAACAAAATATATTTTTCACTTATTTCTTTCAAACTAACTAAACTGTAAGATTGATTTGTATGAAATCTCATTTAGAAAACTGAATTGATTTATCAAATAATATGTTCATATATGTTTAATAGTTAAAATCATGAGTCGATTGAAGTTAGACCAACATGAAAAACTTGGAAGCACTGGACGGTCGTTTCGTCCTATTGTACGACTCCTTAGTAGTACGAATCCACGACCCCACCCCCTGTGAGATTTGAATCCAAGACCTATCAGTCTCGAGCTAGAGCGCTTAGCTCTTAGACCACCTAGGCAGCCGGCGGGTTCGTGCATGAGCACTGCTGAGAAGTCCCAAACTAGGACAAACGGCCGTTCACTGCTTCCAGGTTTTCAATGCTGGTCTAGCATCAGTTGACTCATGATTTTATCCACTGAAATTTCTAAAATCTCCACAACACGCATTCTGATTTAGTTTCATCAAAATTATATGTTTATCGATATTCTTTTGCCCTAGTAACCGATAACTTGTGAAGTGATCCATATTTGCTAACAAAATGTTAACATTTCTAACCATTAGTAAAATAGTTCATTAATATTAATATTACTTTTTCTGATAAACTTTATCGCCTAATTTTAGGACAAAAATG